TGAAATTGCTTTCTCCCACCTTCTCCCTAGTTTTTAAGAAAAGCAATTCACCTTTTCTCTTAAATCTTCCTTGCCAACTTCTCAGATCTTTGTCCTTGCAAACTTTTGACCAGAGATTTCAATCCTCTGCTTCCTCTTTCAGGGTGTCTTATGCATCACGCACTTTCAAGGCTGTCAGTGGTAGGTCTGGCACTGGCTGCTTGTGTATAATCTCTTCCTTCCTCTGAGTGTGGCAGAAAGATTTCTGTAATCTTGATTTAACGACTGCTATGAAGTGGTCTGTTTTAGGAGGGCTCAACACGTGGCCAGTCTGACCCTAGGACATTGCTGCCTGCGTAAGACTTGCTTAATAGGCTATGCTTCTGAGTGTTTTCCTTCTTTCTAATACAGAATGAGCATGGGGCAGGCAGGAGAAACATTTATGGAAAGGATAAGTGCTGTCTGAGCAACTGCTGCCCCTCACTGCAATGCTCCTGGAGTCAGCCCCATTTCCTTGTTTAAATCATCAAAAGGTAAAATCATGGGTGCAGTCCATTTTTCTTCTTTTTAGTGTAAAAGAGCTGAAGCATGTACATATATATATACATATATATATATATATATATATATATATATATGGAGGTATATATTTCATGGGTAAATGCCTTGAAAGCTTGTAAGGCAAATAAATTGAAAGGTCAGTATTCTAGCTTGGATGAACTGGTGAGGGAAACTTTTACTTGGCATATGCCAGTATGACCTTTTCTTTGTCCATGATAAGCACAACTGCACTTCAAGGGTTCTAGAGTGCTGATGGTCCCAAATATCCAGTATCTCTCTGGGGAAGTCTATACAACTCTGCCTTGAATAAATTTTGGTTCCATAACGCTTGAAGATCTATGTTCAGAATTCACTAAAACCCATTTAAATATTTATTTATAAATTGCTCTGACATCTTCACGGTATTTATGGTCAACACCTATTTCTGCACTTTAAATCTTTAAATAAATGTCCTGCAGCTTGCTTTTTTTTTTTTTTTTTTTTTTTTTTTTTTTTTTTTTTTTT